CAACGTTTTAACGTGCTATCCTCCAATAATGCAATAAACAATAAAAAATGCAATTATTCGTACGGATCCCAGCGCTCTGAAAATCCCTACCACGACTCGTTTAGCAAAAAAGAATTTGTTAAAATTTTTAAATTTGGAAAAAACTGCCCGAAATCTAAATGGTTTGGCCAGGATCACACGCAACGTTTTCACGTGCTATCCTCCAATAATGCATTAAACAATAAATAGCAAAACACAATAAAAAATGCAACTATTCGGACTGATCCCAGCCCTTGAAAATCGCTAACACGAATCATTTAGCCAAAAATAATTTGCTTCAATTTGTAACAAATAGGTGATTTAATCACCTCTACGAAATGCATAATTATGCAATATATACATGTACGTATGCTGATTAAAAAAAAAAAAAAAAAATTGGAGAAACGGCGCGATATCTAAATCGGTTGACCAGGATCACTCACGGTAAAAGTAATGTTAAACTTACCGAAAGCTGCACCTGTACTATCTGAAAAAAAATAAAAATCTGTATTATTACATAAACTTAGTCGAGARYCCAGTGATTYGATTGGAAWGGAAAATAAATAGGAAACTGAATAAAAGTTTAAATGTTTCTGGAAAACTCAGTTTAAGCAGTTTAATTTAACTTAGTTCAATTTAAGGGTTTATAGATTGATAATCATTCTTACCTGCTTTTTGCCAGTTTGCAAAAATTGCCCATTCTCCATTGTCTATAAATTATGAGACATTCAAAAGCACACACAAAGTCGAAAATAAATGTGGATTACACTCAGCAATTAACAGGTAAGATAGTCGACTGTTGGTGCCTTAATGGCACTAAATTGGTACTTTTAACTCATTCATGAACAAAGAACCGACGACCGATTTAGTCCCTTGCCCATAATAGACTGAACTATCCGATAAAACTTGTGCAAAATTAAGGTGTTTCACATAAAAAACTCACCGAGCTACAGAGCTCACATAATCGTTTGCTGGCTGGCCCTTTGGGTGAGTCATTGCTGTTCGATTTCAGTTATTTTTTATTGACGATTTTCTGCAAAATTCTAGTCCGCGATTGAATTGGTTTGGATATTTATTGTAAGCAAAGTTGCTTTCTTGCTTGCTTGCAATTGTCAGGAATCGTGAAAACCTTTTTAGATTGATCTATTATGAGAGGCTGCACAATTTTTAGCAGATCCACCAGAATCAAAGTAATTCGCATCACCATTCGCAAAATATGCCATGATTTGTAAATTCTTTACTTTTATTGCGCTATTAAGAGCTACGGAAAATTCGCACTTACTCAGGTTTTTTTTTACTTTTACTCAGTTGACTTTACTATTTTCAAAATTATTCTCTTTAAAAATTCATAACTTCCCATTTAGAGTAAGTAGCAACTTGAAACTTTCACACCCTATAGAAGACTCATGTGGTTGA